TTTTAAGCGAGTTTTGAGAGTTCACTATCTTTAGCCGACGATTTCTCCCTTGTTATTGACCCAAACACTGTATAAATGCACATTTGTGACCTTCTTACGTTGAACGGAGTCGATTGAGCTAAAAAACACACATGTGAAATTTTGATTTTTGGTCGACATTTTTCCGAGAGTGGGGGTCGATTTTTTGAAAAAATTAAAATTTTCTCAAAATGTCTTAAATTTTTCTACATTTTCAGCTCACGGATGCGAAGAATGCATCGAGCTCATTGGAAAACATGCTAGAAGTTTCAGATCCAACATAATAGACATTTTCGGCACATTTTAAGCGTTCACTATCTTCAGCTGACGATTTCTTCCTTATTTGACCCAAAGACTTTATAAATGCATATTTGTGACCTTCTTACGTCGAAAAGAATTGATTAAACTCAATAAACACGCATGTGAAATTTGATTTTTTGCCGAAATTTTTCCAAGGGTGGGGGTCGATTTCCTATTAACTATTAGGTTTACATAGTCACTTCAAGTTATTTAATTAAGTCCAATCCTAAATAAAAATTTTTGCTGTGAATTTTATTTTCGGTTTGAAATTGAAACACACCTGTTTTGGTGGTCACAACCTGTCGAGTTATATGCTAAAAAACGAGGAGATTAAATGCGATATCAAGATTTATTATTAAAAAATTCGTCTCATTAGACAGCACTGTATAAAATACATATTTAATTAGTTCTTTGGCGTACCTAAGGCTCGTGCCACAATGCGTTCTGGCTAGCAATCATAATCATTTACCACTCTTCATTATGTAAATTAACCATATTTCGCAATTATTCTAAGTAATTATTGCACCGTGATCACGCCAGAGTTGGAACAAATTAATTTAAAATTCGCAACACTTTTAAAATGAAACTTGTGAGTTTTGTGCGCTTTTACTGAAATTATGGAAGTCACTAGTTTCATGCATTGGCCGCGAAAGCTTAACTCAATTTTAAAACCTTATCATTTCCGTCATGTCATTTATTTTACTTCATAAATATTTTTGTCATTTTTCCGATTGTGCATAATCATTATCATAATTCATAAAAAGGCCTTTTCATTTTTTGTTTGCTTTTGTGAGTCTAAAAACAGATTCGCAGGTTATTGGCTCGGATTGGTTAATGATGTGAATCGAGGAATGGCGTAGATAATGAACAAAGTTGGAGCCTTAAGAGCTTATGAATCGATTATGATGCTGCTGCATTAAGATATAGTAACGACCTGAATCTGACAAGAAGAAAATTAATTTTTAAGCTTCATATTTGGCGCGTTGAGTAGCATTGGCAAAATAATTCGAAAGCAGCAGGACGTTCGTTCTGCTCCCGAACTGATTAAGAATACCAAAAGGATTCGCAAGATGTTGTTAAATTACATATTTTTGCAACAGGTGTGCAGACTCCGTCAAAAGTTCGAGTCTCTAATGGAAGACATCCGAAATGAACTGTATTGTTTTGATAGCGAAAAGCGAAAAGTCATCAAGACACAATGAAAATTTATGGAGCAGATATGTAAGAGATCAAGGACCTCAAAGTGATTGATTGCCAAACCAATTCACATACTTTGGCTGAGCATGGCCAGTTCAGCAGCTGTAAGATGGAAAGTAATCAAGCAATTGGTCATCTTGGACTATCCGAAATTATGATTTAAATGTTCCGCATGAACATACCGAGACAACTGCAATAATTTTAACATGGGTGATAAAATGAGTTAAGTATGTTATACGTAACTCATTTAATTTAATGTCACTAGGTAATGGCCTAAATTTAGATTCCACAATAGCCGCAAATATTTTTTCAGCCAAGAGGGCCACGTGACTTGTCGGTAGTGTAACATTTTAAGTATTCATAAAAAGCGCGTAAAAGTAGCAAGAAAACACTGATATAAGTAGTGACCCTGATTTGTCTGTTGGCAAGATGGAGTTGCAGTTCGGCCTTGATAGAAATTAAAAATTGCTTTTTGATGGAGAAAGTATAAAAAAGGAAAAAATGCAATGCAGTGAATCGTTTGAGGGCTACAGTGACCATGTAATATTTTAATATTTCACATCGAAAGTGAAGGGTCTGCTCATTCGCGGGACGCCTACTGGACTACAATCATAACTGGGTTTGATGAAGGTGGATTGGAAATATTTATCTTTAAGTTGCATCTGGATGAATCAATAATGATAAATTTGGTTATTAACATTGCGATATTTTCTTCAAAGTAAATAAGGTCTCTGGATAGTTATTTCCTAAATTACTTTGTAAAATCCAAGCAATCAGCAATTGATTGAAGGCGCCTTGAAGTTGCAGTTTGGCCTTGCAGTTATCATACTGCATACTGCATCAGGCTATTATAATAACTCCCAAATTTAAAGCGAGAGCGAAAATCCAACTAGGACGATTTGATCGATATTACTGCAAAACGTTTCAACCATCCGTTCCATCTAAAGTGAATCTTCGAGATTTTCCGGCTTTTTTTTATTGTGATGCAGTTTCTTTACTGTTATAAACAAACAAGTCAACCCACTAAAAGGAAATACTGCCGGTTCAAGGTAGCATTGGTTGGAATTTGATTAGCTTCTTTTAATTAGAGTAATTTATGAGGTAGCTGAATGACTGGTGAACTTGAACAATAATTTTCAGCTTCAAGCAGAATTATTGTTTGTTTATTTTTTTAATCAGTTAGGTTAGTTGGCTAGAGATGCAGAAGCGTTATGAACCAAATCCTGGCAGGGAAAGAGTTGTGCAGCTAAGAGAGAATGGATGGAGAAGTATTTGAATGCAGGAACGCTGTTTGCGTTAATAGCATTCTAAACAAAATATACCTTCTTGGCCGTTTTCTCAGCTTGAGAATGGAAGTTTTGGCGTCTAAATCGTGTAGTTCACCCATGGAGTTCGATGCTACATGAAAACTTTGCACTTAACAATTTACTGTTTGCAAAACCGCGTAATTTTTCTGAAGAAACAGCGAAATAATCGTCCACATTGCCTGCAAGACAAAACTTTACCACTGTTTGTTTGGCGATTTTCTACTACACGCTCGTCCCTCTGTTGCCAGATTTATCGCATTCTTTGCGTCGCACCATCCTCCTTCCATCGGCAAAAACTGCAACTTTACCGTCTTTAACTTCAAAATTTGTTCCTACAATATGCGCTTCATCAGATAAGAATCAGATGCTTCAACCTCAACCTAATCCTTTGATCATTTTTACGTCATGCGTGTGGAAAATGATCAACGTGGGAGAGGCGTCAAGACTAAAAAATAATTCCCACTTCCCATAAACTTGCGACCTTGTTGCCAATTTCACTACCATGTTTTTGTTTTGCAGATTTTTCCAACGTGCTCATCTCCATCTGCACATCCAAAGTTGGACATCTCCTTCAACTTCTCAACCAATTTATCATCTTCGAAGGTGGGTAGTTTAAAGGTCGAATTTGCAAGACCTTTAAACTTTTGCGTAAATTCAAATCACCAGATGAAATGTACCGGAAAAAAGGCGGCTCTCGTTCTATGATTGCAAGATTTACATTTCCGACAATCAGTGGAGAGGGCTGAAGAAATGATTGCTCCCAATTATCGAATTATGTCACTTCAATGGCGTTTTCGGTAAAATGGATTTTACTGTACCATCAAATCAAAAAAGCAAGCGGTTCGATTATTTCTCAGTCGTGATCTGCGGGTGTAGACTTTATTGAAGTGGATCAATTGAAAACTGATGGAAATCGGCAACTGCTTGGACGCTCGTCCTGTTCCTGTTTTTTACAAGAAGTAAAACGCTCCTTGGAGGTGCCTTATTGATTCCAGATTAGTCACTCTTAATTAAACCGAAAAACTCGAAAATGGCATTTTATTTGTTGAAGAAGGTTGAAGAAAAAAAGCATTTCAGAATGTTTGTTAACTTTTTGCACCATTCGCTCTAATTGGAGTCAGTAGAGATCTCATATCCCAGTTTGAGACTCGCGACACATACATATAAATAGTTCTATTCTCTGGATGGCCATCCCCTATTTCTTAAAATCGATTTTCCGGAATGAATAGTCGCCAAATGTGATGTTTAATTAGGCAATTCATGGGGTAATAACAGGCTTCCGTTTCTGGAAGATTGCCCATTGACACCGAAGACCAGGCTTATTCTGGGATTAATATAATTTGAGGACGTGACATAATAATGATGTGAGGGAAATACACGAAATCCAGTTTAATCATTACCAAGTGCGAATATTGCTTAAAGTATATTAATAAATGTTGATCAATTGAAATGTCTTGCATAAAAACATCCTTGAGCCTTCTTATCCCAATTAGAGTTAGACCTTGTTATTTATTCCATTTTCTAGACGGCAAGATCGATAATAAGCGACTGGAAGTAATACAGCAAAACATGGCACAGCTATCCTTTTCTTCGGCCAGTATTAAATTACTCATGTAAAAACAAGCTATTTATCAGTGAAATTAACAATATCCTTTGGCAAGGAAAAATTTGACGACATTCATTCAAAGTGGCAGACATTGGCAAAAAACTGGAAGGCATTGTTTAGCAGTTTGTTCACAAATTGCTTTTGAAACTCCTAATGAAAGTATGTATATACTTTTTTTGGGTATTCGCAGCGAAAGGCAAAGCTAATTTTTGAAATGCCACTGTATTTCCACATTTCTGGTCTACAAAAATTATATACATACATATTTGATTTTTACAATAGTTTATTTAATATCTATATACAAAGAACGTTCCTTAATTACGAACTTAAAATATATTAGATCTATTATTTACAAACCTCAACAATAACAATTATTTTATAGCCATAGTGTTTTACATCACACATGTAACAACGATTAACATTATTTGTAAACTTTCGAAGTTTTCAAAGTACATACTTGCACTTCGATTGTGCATGCTTACCAAATTTATATGGAAATTCTAATATTTGATTGATTTATCATCAAGCACATGTTATGAGCACTATTCATTGCATGAGTGTAAAAGGCTACTTCGAATATAATGGACTGTTATAGTAGTATTTCACTCGTGTTTCAGCTTGTAAGTACATATAATCATAAAAATCAGGAACATTAGTTGCCATATTGTTGATTCAAATTCAATAGAAATTGGCGAGTGTTTCGGACTTTTAGGCAATCGTGCAAAATAATTTCATCGTGACGTTTAACAAGCGCGAATAACCCGAATCCTCAAAGATGTTTCTCTCCAAGCGCCATTCATTCTTAGCTCATCAATCATGTGCCTTCAAGAGATACACCTCTGAGAATGCGAGCGACTCGTACTAGTAAAACGTCAAGAAAAACATATTTTCCACAACAGCCCAAGAGCCTGAAAAAATCACCAACCTCATCAAGCCTTTTTAATAACGCTTTCAAAACAAGAATTTTGTAATATACATTTCATATTATCATCATTAGTAAATAACAGTCCATATGGAATATTTATTTCTAGAGCAGTTTCTTTATTGCTGGTATTACATTGAAAATGTTTGTTTATGCCAAGAAAACCGTGTATGAATTTTAAACCAATTTTTCATATTACTGCAGTCAACGGTAATGAGTGAGTTAATATTGCCATTATTTTTCATTTTCCTTTTTACACCGAATAGATAAAATTGATTGGAAAGTGCCTCCAATAAATTATCATTTTGGACTTATTGTCTAGAGTCAGTTCTTAATAAATACCTATCTTAAATGTATATTTTGCCTTACAAATTAATACGTTAGGCCTCTAGAAAATTGACGTAACAATTCGCCTTAATTGAATTAAATAAATGAACGGTTAACAATAAAATAAATATTTTGTACTTTACAACCGAGGTACGATTAAAAACAATAGGGAGGATATAATTATTACTCCCTCAGATCGAATTATTAAATGCAATCACTGGCAAACTAGCATACGTATATAAATCGTCCTAGTATTTGTGTCTTTCGGTGTATAATTAGAAACATTATCGACATGTAAAAGTTGAACATACTAGCGACTACAACAGGAAATTATTTAAAATCAAATCAAAATATCCAAATCAATCAAATGCTAAGGTCGACAGCTGGAATAGATATTTTTAAATCTTAGTTTTACATTCGACATACATTTATTTAGAATATGCTTTCAGACTATCTAAGTTTCGTTAAAACTGTAGACAACACTTTATTTGTTGACCTTTGGCAGATTTGAATTTACATGTGATTTTAGTAATAAGCATTTAAAGCAGGTCTAACCGAAAGAATAGATTTCAAAACTCATCACATAACGCATATCTTAATTCGTAGCTTCCAAGTGATGTGATATGTTTTAGAATCTGCCGCTTGATTTCAATGTGCTCTATAGCGTAAATATACTTATATACATATAAGAATTTCAGTCTCACAAAGATTTAACTAAGTATAATAGTAATATAGACATAAGCGTTGAAACATGGAATATTATGATTATGCCCAGAACTCCTACAGAACACTTATAGAAACTTCGATATATTAATGACGACGTTCTTATCTTAAACAGTTTTATCCTACATTTTGCTAGTCGGTTGGAAGTCAAGTTAATTGAACAAATTTTGAATAATTTCCTTCCAAGGTAAATTAACTCATTGTCGGCAGTCGTTTAATTTTCTAACTGTAGTAGTTCTCACGTTGCTGATATAACGGCAAAGGGGTTACTGGCGAAGAGTCCTCTTCTTCAGTACTTACTGGCTGGGGCGTAAGTTTTAGGGCTTGCAAGTTCTTCACTGTGAAAATATGTATTTATCGTAGATATACGAGACATACAAGGTGCAAAATGGGCAAGAAATCTATGCTTCTACTACATTTGCTGATTAACTACCAAAAGTAAAATAAATATTTTTGCAGCCAACACATGTTTTATTTTCGTGAACTTTTACGAGAAAGCGCAACGAAAAACAAACATCGCCCCACGCGATTTGTCGATCCACTTCGGACAACAGATAATTGTTGTTTGCTTAGATTTCACCTCCTACAAGGTGGTAAATTTAGACGGAAGTGTTTATTTTTATTTGCTTCCATTTGTGTTCACTTTGATAACAAATAGCAAATAAGTAGGTGCAGATCATGCAAAATAAAAAATAATAACACACCTACAAAACGCTTTGGCATAACAACATCAACTATGGTCGGGCTCAGTGCTTCCTATAAGGAAAAATGCTGGATAAGTTAGAGCAAAAACAGCATGCTAAAGTGGTTATTCTGAATGTATGTGCAATGTACCTGCAACAGCTTTGCTCATTTCCATGACCTGTTTGGCAAGAATTTGATTTAGCTGTAACAAATGTTCCCGCTGTTTTTTTTCTTCGGAAATGCTGGAAGTCGAAGCGCTTTTACCTCCGGTGTTTAGCTTTTTGTCCTGTGATTTATTACCTGCAATGAAAATTTACCATTATTTCTATTTCATGTACGGGCATTCCGAAATCTTACTATTTTGCATAGACGCAACTGGCGCGCTAATTATGGCAGTATCGGATAACATTTTCTTGATGCTCTCCACCTTCTTGTTCCTTTTTTCTTGCTCCTCGACGCTTGGTTGGGGCATTTGTTCCGGAATGTATCTTTCAGGTATTAAGATTTTGTTGGGGGTGCTCAGAATGTTATCAATAGTTTCTTCATTGTACTTCAGGTCTTTATTGCTTAGAGTTGATCGCACCAAATCTGGAGCGTCTATTCTTTGTCTCAAGGCTCGCTCGATATCCAAGTCGTCTCTCGCTCTACGCCCTTCTAGAGTTCCTAGCATCACTAAATTATCATGCGGAGCTGTATGGTGCCTTCTGTGTTCTTTCGGAACCGCCCTCCGCTGTCCTTGAACTGTCGGGCTTTTTTTAGATACCTGCAATGCGAATAAGGTTTAATGATTAAGCCAGAATATCTAAAAGTTTAACTGTTAAGCCGCATACCTCGGTAATAATTTGCTTGGCAGCTTCACTTTTGAATACAGGACTCAACTCTGCGGGCTTTTGCTTATTACTCCTGCCAGGCAAAGAATGGTGTTCAAAATGTAGAGCATGCGGTAAAGATGTGGGTCTGAAGAGCACGGACGACCCTTGTGAAGAGTCGTCTTCTTCCATCAAAGGATCACATTTTCCATTAAAAGTTTTTTCTCTGTCGCGCTGCCTACGTTCCGATTCTCTCTTGACGATTCTAACCGTTTTTATTTCCTGCTTCTCAAGCGGGTTTAAAGACAATGCAGTATCATCGCTAGTAGAATCGCTGGTTTTTAGATTTCGATCTTGAAACTCTGAAGATCCGAGCGGCTTTATGTCTGTATTGATGTAAAGAGGTGTCGTTGATGTGCTAGAGTAACTATCATATCCATGATCAATGGAGTTCATGGTATCCAAGTCTGTCTCCCTCCAGGAGGAAGTTGGTCTTTTTTTATAATCTAAGGATTCATTTAAATTAACTCTACAAGCACTCGCTTCTTTTAGCGTAAACGTACTGTTGCTATTGAATGCCTGCTGGTCAATGGGTGAAGAATGTTTGCTTTGGTGCGAATGCGGCGTGCTGGATCGGTCAGTAAGTTGTCTCACTTGGAGGCTTAGTTCTTCCCTTTGCTTCTGGAGATCGCCGATTTTCTTTTGAACCCTTTCCAAGTTAGTTTCTAGCGCTTGGTTTGATCCAGACATATAAGGAATACTGTCTCCTATAATATGATTACA